GGATTTTCAAGTCCGCCGCTTGGTCTTGGTTCTGCCACAACTATATGTCAACTATATATCAAGGCAATTTTTTCATAGTACTCTATTTATAATGTTCTTAACTGCGTCGCCGCATACTTCATGCCCCCCCAGGGCTAGCATGGGCAGGAGACAATTTTATCCCCGGGGAAAGGAGAAAATGGTTATCCTCTTGCTTAGTTTTATCCACCCTTCGAGCATGGGCACACCGCTGGATATAATATCCACAGTAGATAAAATGGGAGATAGACTTAGATAGATTTTTTGTATGAATATAAACTGCTACAGACGGGGGATATATGTCTACTCGTTATGTCAAACGGGCATATACTTCTCCCCGTTGCCGTGCTTTGGCATAGGGACAAGATAATTTTATCTCTTGGCAGTGGATATAATCGGGGGATAAAATTCTTGTCCCCAGCCCATGCTAGCCGTGCTGATGTACTCTTTACGGACGTTGTCTTACCTCTTAACATTATACAACCAAAGAAACATTCATGTACAGTTCTAATGTTGTGATCTAATCTCCCGAGAGAAATATAACTCAAATACAAACATCTCTATTTACTCTCTAATGACTTCGATGTTAATGTTCCCTATTAACACTGATGTTTTAATCTAGCAAACCACACATGTACGGTCTCCGCTACTTTAGTATCCCTCCGCCGTTATCAAATGTGCCTTTCCTTTATTGGTCCTCATTAACTCGTGTGGTGTTCTGCATTGATAAGCAGCTTAGTTTCGCGATATTTACGGTAATAGATGACAAGTTTTAGCACTATTATGAACAAAAAGGGAATAAGAACGTGGAATAAGTCACTCCTGATATCCATTGCTTGTTCCGTGTACAATATCTTCGCCTTTATAGACGTGATGACACTTCATTGCCTCAGTTTAGCAATAAGAAACATCTGACATCTTTCTTATTGCTATCGAGAAATCGGTTACAAAGGTTAGAATGTAAGACCAAAACAACAGAGCCATACAGTTTCATTGCCGATACTGACACCACAGATTTTTAATTCATAGACATGTTAGCAACACGCCGGACTAAAAAGCTTCAAGTAAAAAAGTAAAGTTACAGGCTATACAGGGTTATTTTTCAAAGAGTAGCCAAATTTTAAGCTTAAGTTCAAATATATAAATAATGATATACCGTTATTGCAGTTTTTAAAAATATAAGTAAAAATATGGTTTCCACTTTTATTTGAAATTATCCCAAACTGAATGTGATTTATGGGCAACAACATTTTTGCCTACCGATCGACACTTACGAATGTGTGCGTGCGCGGTAAAATCAGTCAAAATAATGTATTACCACGCATTTTGAATGTAAAAGATAAAAAGGACAGAATTATTGAGATAATCTTTAATTAAGTTTTCTTCACCATTTTCCTATATTACTTATTGTGAACCTTCTCTGCAAATTTGGCCGGTTATTGCAAAATAACCCTGTATACGTCCTCACTTGGACACGGACCTCTCATTTCCGATAGTGTTTTAGAGCAAGATCTTCGCCGCGCTAATAAAAATTCAAAATAATTTCCATTTGCATTTAGAAACAGAGCGCCCTCGACTTATGTTATTATGAATATTTTTTTAAATGGTTAGAACTTCCCCAATACGTGTTGGCGGATTTCACTGTCTTCCAAATTATATGTATATATATATTTTTTTTGCAACTGATAACTAGGTTTCCTCAGGACGTTTTCAAAAAGCATGTGGTGAATCAGCACTTAAAATTGAAAGCCGTTACCTGTAACGGTAACTGCTTACCCCATAGTTACTTTTAAAAGGGATGTTCAGCCTTAATCTATGTAGCACCGTTGCTGAACCTGCGGCTTCGCCTGCGTGGAATTAAGTTGTGACCAAAAGACGTTATCAGCAATCGGAGAGGTTGGGAGGTTCGCACATCCAAGCACTGCTATCGTGCCTCTAAAGTTACTGTTTTATATTTAGGTATTATTGTTAATAAAGAAAGATAAAGAATCTAATTATCAATTTTTAAAAAATCTTAAAAACATCTTCAAAAACTACAGGATCTCTGCATGGGGCGCACTTCTCGCCTTCTTCCCCTATTAGGTATACCGTATTCATCCTTTGGAAAGGAATGCACAAAAACTTTCAGAAGCCTATATACCAATTTTTACTTTTCCAACTTCAAAAACTTAGGATTTGCATACAAACTACTATTTTACCCCCTAAGGGGGTGAATTAAAAAAAAGTAGCGTACGTCATACGTCGAAATATATCAAACTCTCTCCTTACAAAATTTCATCGAAAAGTGATTTAATCGTGAAAACGTAACATATTAAGGGGACTACTGCCCGGCTAGCATGGGGGAGGGACAATTTTATCCCCGGGGAAAGGAGAAAATGATTATGCCCTCGCTTAGTTTTATCCACCCTTACAGCATAGGCACACCGGTGGATATAATATTATTTATCACAGTAGATAAATTGGGAGATAGACTTAGATAGATTTTTTTGTATGAATATAGACTTCAACCCACGTCCAATGAACAAGGATAAAATTGTCCCTTTCAAATGTCAAAACAGCATAATTTTTTATCTTTCATTTGGCTCCATGCTATGGATGGGGCATATATGTCTACTCGTTATGTCAAACGGGGATATACTTCTCCCCGTTTGACATAACAAGATAATTTTGTCTCTTATCAGTGAATATAATCGGGGGATAAAATTTTTGTCCCCCGCCCACGCTACCCGGGCAGGTGCTAAACACAAATTTTATAAATGTATATGATCCACTGCAGTAAACAAGGATAGATATATACTAGTTAGATAGAGTTGAAAAGATGATACTATTAATTTGATACAATAGAAAAAAATCACAACTATACCTCTAAAAATTTCTTTTAACAATTAAAAACCATACTAATATACAGGCAATCATTCAGATTTTTTGTCAGATTATTCTACAAGCAACATATTGACGTAATGGTGTTTTATTTTTTTAGTCCAATCGACAGACTTTTTTTTAAATTGCATATTCTTATTTCTGAACGAGTACCGGCCGAGGCCTGATGCTATACAAAAATTGTGAAAATGTGTGCGTGCGAGGTAACCATATTCGAGGTAACTTAGCTCTTGTAGTCATCTTAAGTAGGAATATAAAGTTTTAAGAGAGGAATTTTCTGGTCTAGCTGTATTGTGAATTTCCCCATGTCGATTGGCACTGCTTCGAATCAGACAGACAGTTTCTTCTTCGTCATAATCATCAGTCCATTACAGTACACTGGACATGAGCCTCTCCCGTTGTACAGAGTATTTGCCGTAATCGTCACGTTTCACTAGATCATCATATCACAGTACCATCGTCTCACACCTTTGACGCTTCTACCAGTATTTGTTTGGGTACTTTACATCTGGTGTAAACGAGATGTATGTGGAAGTCATAAGATTTCCCTGGCATTTCCCACAGCTGTCTCTTGCTATGCCAACAGAAAGTGGTGATGTATTCTCTTACGCCGCCATCATCGTACTATGGTGAGAATGGTGAATGCCATTTAAATAAAACTAGTTTTATGGATTTTATCGCATATATTTACTTATTTTATATTCCAGAATTTTCGAGTACTTTACAGCACCCATGGTCACGGGAGGACTGAGGTGTTTTACATCCCAATGTCATAGTTAACCACGGCTACCTCCAGAATAAAAATTATTAATTTTTGTTCTGATCTACGCAGTATGATCGTATATAAAATAAGTTAATATACACGATAAAATCCGTAAAACTAGTTTTATTTAAATGTGTAGTTTTCGCGTAAATATAAGAAATCATTATGGTGAATGCCACTTTCTCTGTACAAATACTGATGTGAGAATATACTATCTCCTACACTATTAATAGATTCAGTTCAGAAGTTGTAACCATTGTTAAACTTGATCAGGGGGGCATTATATTTAAAGAGTACTATAACAAGCAACACAACATAAATATATTGCAACAAAAAAATAATTTTTTAAAACATTTGACTGGACTTATCGTCTACTTCACAGTGAGATATGAATATCTCGTCCAAGCAGGACGATACTTAAAATAACATTACTACACTTATCTGGAATATAGGAAAGTAGGTGATTCATTTTTATACACAACTAGCAATCTGCCTCAGCTTTGCATGGGTGATTTCTGGATTTCGACAATACCATCCAAGGACCCACTTAAACACACACAAATTATTTCATCAGAATCGATTGAGCCAGTTTTGAGTTTTAGCAAAACTAACAAACAGCAATTTATTTTTATAATATAGTGCTGATACCCACGACTTTGTTCACATTATTTGATATATTAACAAAGTTTTCTTATGTACAAAGGAAAAAACATCAAAAAGATCGCAAGCAAAAATATACTTTACTTCCAAAATTTCTTTGTAAGTAATGTGATTCGTTGCTCCGTTTGTAACAAAAATATATAAATTAGTAACACAAGAGCAAGCGAAGTACAGCTGACCGTGTGAAAAACCCCATATAAAAATTGTTGTTTCTTATATTTTTATATGAAATAAAGATATCGCAATAATTTTTTTTAGATGAGGACTAGTCTAAGAAATAATACTTAGATAACATAATTGATATCTATCCAGTAGTTTTTCCGTGATCATACAAATTTGAAAATGTAATATAATCATGGAAATTCTACATTGCAGTTTAAATGCAGTATTAAAAATGCTAAGTTTACGAAATTTTAAACACAGTCTCATTACAAATGAAAAAAATCAGCAATTTTAGTTATGCCTCAAAATGTTGCTGTTATAATAAATGAATTTAATTATAAATACTTTCTAAAATAGTTTACTGGACACAACCAGCCATTCATTACAAACAAATGCAATGTAATTGACAGTTTAGCTGAAACATCATTAGAAACACAGATAACAGTTTCAATGCTTCAGTCAACAAGTAGAACAATGGTAATAACAACTAAATTGTAAGAAAATAATTATTTCTTACCAAAGAATCCTGTGATCCAGTTAGTAACAGTCCGTCATGGAATGGAGAAAACTCCATATCAGTTATTGTATCTGAGTGTGCATGAAGTAAAGGCATGGTCTTGCTTTTCCTGCCACAATCATCCAAAGGCAGCACAGCCATACTTGAGCCAACATGTTCCCAATTGAATGCCATAAATGCTGCTGAGGCACAAATATTGTTTCCATATGTCTGATATGATCCAACACTAATATCTCTAATGCATGCTTCAGGTTTAGGCACAATGGGTGCCGCATTTTTATATTTAGAAGCCTTAAAACGCCAGGCCATCTTCAACCACTTAATAAAAAGTATTCAGTCTTTTTATATTTGGAATGTAGAAAGTATTTTTCTGGATAATAGTTATTCTGAAATTATATTGCCAATTAACTTACAAAAAATACACAGATTGTTACTTTTTGAGATGGATAATTTGAGCATAATTTTCTTATTTATATACATTGAAGGAATACACAAAATTGACACAAAATTCAAGGTAATTAGAGAATAAAATCAATTTCAAATAAAACTATTTCGTATATTTAAGATATTATTACAAATTATACTACCCCAAATCACAATAATATCCTTAAAAAAATAATAAACACTTTTGTTTTGAATAGTCAAGAGAGGATAGACCGGAAATGTTTTAAAATCTATAATGTTCTATAATAGTAGGAGAGTAAAGTTACATTGTATTATTTTTAACACTGTATTAGTTTCTAATTATCACTTATTACTTACAGAATCAAGTAATTTCCAATTAAGAATTAAATATCCGCTAGACACTCCCCAAACACTCCCCCTAAACGTCGGCCATTTCAATTGAAGCGGCATTTAGTAACGATCGATCGATAAAAAACATAGGTGATGTGTCATTGAAAGAAATTATAATCGAATCGAAAATAATATCGATTAAAAAAAACATGTGTGACTGTCGTGGAAATATCCGTTGGAGCGAATTTCCTTTCGTGGTATATTGTTATTGATAAACATAATATTATATTATTGATTAACAAATACAAATAAATGAATTACTAGCGTCTATTAAAATAAAGCGTCATTACAAATAAAATAATATTTCTTTCATGGCAAGGTAAGAAAAAGTATAAGGGAGATGGATATTATTCCATTTCGCTTCCTTCAAGCCGCCAAGGCCGTCTAAATTACGTCAGAAGGGGTCGTGAAGGAAAAATCTTACACTGTTTCTCGCTTAGCCTCGTTCGCTTAGAATTTCATTCCAAAAAGTGAGGTACAATTCGTTGTCGACACCGCAAAGGGCGAACCTCAATTTTTAAAAAAAATTATGGGAGAGCAAGAAAACGTTTATTATTCCCCGATCACATTTACATTACATAGCTTTTTTTTTTCACCAAAAAATTAAATATATTAGACTTAATGCAAAACTAAAACTAAGATTTCCGAACAAGAAAGGTTGACCTTTAAATTTTACACTTTTTAAAATTTTGTTAAAGCTTATGTTTTGTATTACTTAATATTTAAAAGATCAATATTTAAAATGTCTGTAGTAGTTAATCAAGACAAAGCTTTAAGCTAGGAGTGGGCGATACAAATCGTATATAGATACAATATCTATATATCAGTACAATATCCAATATCTATATATCCGACGACAAACTAACTATGTATTAGATATTACGGTTTTACGATACCGTGTTGATATGAGTCATCGCAGAATATCTAATATCTACTCAAAACCGAAACGTAAAATATCTAAATACATACACTGATTCGGATACCGAACAAACCTTGAGCGCGATAGAATATATAGCTAAAACAGATATTACGATTTACGACTACTTTACAACGAAAAGGTGATACGCTTACGCTTAATATTTTTAATATTAATCCTTATTAGTAGTACTATATGATTTATTACAGAACACATAATTTTCAATATCCAGTCCAAGTAGTATAATTTTATTATTACTTTGTTGTGTTGCACTGTTTTCAAAATAAACTATTTCAGATCTTATTGTATATTTAATAGATTGTTATTTTTGGTATGTAAATTAAAACTGAGAAAATTATGAAGGAAAGTTTATTTCACCGATTCTGAAAAACTATACCCGCTTTCTAGATATAGGATAATTTCCTTTGGCGTAGGGGTATAATCATGAAGTTTGCTTCATGGGTATATAATAACCACTAATCATAACCAAAAGTGTGGCATAAAATATAAAGGTTTAATTTTAATGTAAATAAATGTTGCAATCCTTATTTTTAAACATGGAGTGCCTAAATTAAAATAATATGAAATATTTTTAAAATATTATTCTTTAGAGGAGTAAAATATACTTTGTAAAAGCGCCACCTTCTAGATTCTATACGTAAAGTGATTTTATCGAACAAAAATTGATTAACGCTCAAGGTGGTACGTATATTATACGCTAGATGGCATAAACACGACACGATTAAATTTAATATTCTATTTCATTATGTCGCAGGATAAATCCTACTTTTTATATTATGAGATACATTAAGAATACTTATATTACATAAATAATACAACATAATATCTATAAATCAATATATGCAAATTTGTACATAAATCGCGTATCACAAATGTGACTGAGTACTGACTTCTTTTCAGAACGAAGATATTAACAAATATATAGATATTGAAATATATAGATACAAAATCGGATTTTCATATCCAATACATAGGTACGATTTGATACAGGGTAAAAGTGATATTACCCATGCCTACTTTAAGCTATATTATGTTCATACTTAAATTATACACATCATTTACCTAAATGTACAAGCAAAACAAGCTCTATCAGACCTTTAGCCTAAATTGAAGTTATTAAATAATTATTTTACGTGCATATTTATGTTAATTGTTTTATGTTTTTGTTATATTATATAAATATTTAATGTAATAAAGCTAGAAACTGCTGTAGAGTGGATTTATAGTTTCTATTCACTAATAATTAAGTAGTTTGGTGCTAATAAATAAGTAATTACTCTGTTTTTATTAGGTAGACAAAACTTATTTTAAACATATTTTATCTGTTATTTTTATATGTCATACATGTTAGTGCCATAAAAATACGATATAGTATAATATTAGATTCAAGATATTTGAATTTTGCATAGAAATAAATTCCCTACAAGTAAGGTAATGTTCTTCTATCTGGTATTCTTATTGTAACAGTAGCGCCATCGCTTAAAGATACGAGTTATTAAGCATCGATATAAATATCGATATTTTTTTACTTATTGTGGCGTTGGCTACATGACATTTAGCCAAAATATTTTCGAGATAATAATACTAATATCAAATTCAACAGTACTCAGTGGCTCCTTGACCGATGTTTTTATTCCGTAAAATAATTTCTGTAATTAAAATAGATTAGATCAGTATATTGAAGTGCTGATGTGTTTGTAGTTTGTACAGTAGGGCTACAATGGGTATCCGAGTACAGAACCGGAGTGCCAAACGTATGTAACTGCAGAGACGGTATAGTTTAGTCCATATCCATCCAGTCAGCACTTCGATATTCCGTCAGTCAATTTGGCACCACTATGGCACCGCCCAAATTTTGACGGAATCAAAGTCCCCAAGACAAAGTGGCAGATCGTATTCTTCGGTCTTATGTACAATTTACCGAGGGGTATGATGTGGTCTCTCGTACTAAAGCATTTTCAGAAATCTGCGAAAACAGAAAGTAGACGCAGCTTAGAAGGAAAATCGGTCTGTAGTTCTTCACCAGAGCGTTGACGCTCTACGTCTCCGGAGTAGTGCCACCATGGAGGACGGAATTAAAGAGCTTCTGAAGGAATTCAAATACTCGTTTTCCACCCGCATTTAGAAGCTCCGCTGTAATTGCGTCTTCACCTGGGGCTGTGCCGTTTTTAAGGTGCTGGAGAACCATTCTAATCTCGCTCAGACTGACGTCCGGGATATCATCGGAATTGTATCGGATAATACTTGCTCCAACTCCAACGATGACATGTACAGCTGCGCGTAGAACCTCTCACCCTCACTAAAAATCTCAGGTATCCCGGAAACAATGCTACTACATTCGGTCTTCAGCTCCGACAGTTGGCTCTGTCTGGCAGACAGATCTCAAGCAAAGACTTTAGAGCCTTTGTTCTGTTTGATCGCTTCTTTAATACGAGCTTAATTGAAGTTTTAACAGTGGTAGAGCCACGCGGCAGCTTTTGCTGTCGCACGGATGGGCGGCTCGAACCGGGGTGGTACGACGACCTCACAGGATACCAGCGTGAAGTAGAAGTTTTCTTCTTTGGCCTGGTGAGTGCAGGTGGCCGGAGGCCCAATCCCCCCCGCCCCCTCCCCATCAACATGGTAGCTAAATTAAAAGGAACTCTACCCCAGGAGGGTACCAGCATCCCTGGAGAATCCCTCACTGGGCATCCACGCTCAAGCTACCCTACTTTTTTTGAGCGTGGGTGCTCAGGCTGCCCCGCATACTCTGGGGAGGGGGGAGGGGGCGAAATTCCGCTCAAGACGAAACCTGCTCGGGGCAAGCTGAGCAATAAGACAAAGGCAAAGGTGTCTTCTCCGGCTGATACTTCGTATCTCTCCTACCCGTGGTACAAATTAGAACACTCCTTTGTGCCCCGGGCTGGAGTTTGCGTGTACGTCAGAGAAGACATCTGTTTTCGACGCCTCGACTATCTTGAAAGTACAGACCTGTCCATCCTATGGCTGCGCGTAGACAGCAACGACCATCCCCGCTTCTACGGGTGCCTCTATAGGTCCCATAGCGGTAATGCCGACACAGACCGACTCATCGACCACGTTCAAATGGCTGCAGACTCCGTGCTACAACAGGTTTCATCCGCAGAGATCGTGATACTTGGTGATTTTAACGCCCACCACGCTGAATGGCTTGGTTCCTGTTTAACCGATCATGCGGGTAGATTTGTCTATAACTTTACCTTGGCATATGGTCTAACACAACTGGTTACTTCGCCTACGCGGATCCCAGATGTATAGGATCATGTACCTTCTCATCCGGACGGATATCAGGTCTCCGTCGATGCCCCTCTGGGCTCTTCGGACCATTGTCTGATCCGGAGTACGGTGCCACTCACGCTCTCATCGCAGTTGCGATCTAAAGCTTGCCGCCGTGTTTGGCACTATAGGTCGGCCGATTGGGACGGGATGCGGTCTTTTTTTGCATCCTACCCTAGGGGGTGGGTTTGCTTCTCGCCTTATGATTCCAATGTTGTTGCTGATTCTGTCCCTGATGTGGTACTTCAGGGAATGGAATTATTTATTCCATTGTCTGTGGTGC